CTATACTATGACGTTTTTTCATGATTTTGGACGACATACTATACTTTGACTTTTTTTTATGATTTTGGACGACATGCTATACTATGACTTTTTTTTATGATTTTGGACGACATACTATACTATGACTTTTTTTCATGATTTTTGGTGACATGCTATACAATGACTTCTTTTTTAATGATATTTGGACAACATACTTTACTATGACTTTTTTTAATGATATTTTGACGACATACTATACTATGACTTTTCTTCATGATTTTGGACAACATACTATACTATGATTTTTTTTTATGATTTTTGGTGACATAATATACTGACATTTTTTTATGATCTTTGGTGACATAATATACTATGACATTTTTTTGTAACTGTTAAATTTTTAATCCTATTTTAAACCTGTACTGTGATTTTATCTTTTTTTTTGGTCTAACATTATACTATGAAATGTTTAATGATAATTTCTATTAAATTTATATGACAAACTATACTATGACATTTTTTATCATATTTTCAAATAATACTATACAACAGATTTTTAAACGATATTTTTAAGACTTACTATACTATGACATTTTCAGTTATATCATTTTTACATACTGTACTATCATGTTATTTAGACATTTTACTATGAGATGTTTCATGATCATTTTTATGACATACTATACTGTGACATTTTTATTACATTCATATGACACATTATATGATGACATTTCTTACTCATGTTTCATTGACATGCTATACTATGATATTTTCTGATGTTTTTATGACATACTACATTCAATACATCATTTTGACATTTTTATCACTTTCTTTTTTTGACATGCTGTACTTTGACTTTTCTTTATATGTTTAAAGCAAACTTTACTATGACACGTTATTATATTTTTGTGACATACTATAAAATATTTCATGATTTTTTTATGGCACACTTCGTAATATTTTTATGGCATACTATACTATGTGTTTTTTAAATTAAAATGTGTAGGTGTGTTATACCATGACCTTTTTAGTTTTATGATATACTGCAGTATGACTTTATTGATCAAGTTCTTTTTTTGGCATCCTATGATTTGTTTTATGAAAGTTGTATGAAATATTATACTATGAATCTTTTTAACAAGAGTTTTGTGACATACTGTACTGTGACTTTCTTGCTGAGGTTTATATGACATACAATACTATCAATGTTTTATTTTTATTTTTTTGCAAAATATACAACTTTTTTTCTAAAACATTTTTGGTATATTATACTATGATTTTTAATAATAATTTGATGACATACTTGATGATATACTTGACATACTTTAGTTTAAATTTAAATTATGTTAATGGGATAATATGACAACTTTTTCAAATTTTTATTGCATACTATGCTATGATTTATTTCAAAATAAAACTTTTATGGCGGACTATACAGTAACTTTTTTGAATAACTTAATTTATGTTATTTTGGTTTTTTTTTTCATTTTTTAATGCAAACAAAGCTGACTTTGTTTTTTGACATTTTACAGGTTATACAAGTACATGTAGTTAAATTCATTGACACATTGGTCCATGGAGTCATCTTACAGCACAAACAATATATATAGTCGATTAAGTTTAAGTGAGTCACTGATGTGACTGGTTAAAGCTCCAAGTGGCAACAATAAGATCTTTATGTATGGAAAGGGTCTTAAACAAGCTCTTTGAAACGGTGTTAAAATGTACCCCAGGATTCCTGCAGATACTTTGACATAAACTCAACACTTCTCTTTTGTCAAGAATTTTATTGTAAATTTATACAGTTCTTGAATTTAAAGTAAAACAGTGACAACTTAAGCCAAATATTCTTCAATAAATACATAATGAGGACATTTTTGGCATGATAACTTATCTGATGTCAGAAGAAAGTTTGAGGAACCAAGCTGTCAAATGCGTAATACTGCTTCACCATGTTGGAGTAACTGCCTGTAGTTTATTTACACAGCACCATCTAGTGGTAACCATTGAAATGTATTTCACAACCTCCCTGTTCATGACAGAGTTTCAGTTCAGTTCACACAACTTACAACTTCACAGGCTTCACAGACAGCACAATTGCCTTGTTCCTGCATTGCAGGAACCTTCACATTAACTCCATGAACAACTCAACTGACCAATGACATAAAGGCTTCTTGAAGTTTTCTTTCATGGCAGAAGAGAAGAGCACGAGTGAGTTCAAAAGTCCTATATAAAACAGAATTAAAGGTAGAAAGTAAAATAAAAGGATAGAGTGACGAGGGAGTTGGCCATGAGCAGAGCGATGGGAACAGAAAGTGCGCAGGTGATGTGATGTCGAGGTGGATGTGGAGAGGCGGAGGATGAGTGTCACAGGCTCTGGCAGCATTGCAGTTTATTGCCCTTCTGCCCGTCAGTGGTTGGGGGGACACTTATGTTGACTACGTTGTTGCCCGGAGACTCATCGTGTGCAGATCTGTCCGCTATCTGCTTTTGTGACACGATGCGGTAGATTTCTGCAGAGAGAAAATTCAAGAAAGAAAAACAGAGTGATGCTCGTGATGTTTAGACTTCAGTTCTCTGTAAATGAGCTGTGGCACTGATAAAACTGCAGCCTCACATCAAAATGGTAAAACATCAAGCTAACTGAACAGCTTACATATTTCATTTCCCTGACAGTGACAGATGTTTTGTCATTTAATTCAATGCCAAATGAATTATTGTGGTAACAGAAGACTCAGGTTTTTTTTAATGTTTTCAAGACCTTTTCAAGATGATTTTTAACCAAATTTAAATTAAATTTAAGATTTTTTGCTGAAGCTTCGATGCCTGTGTGTGTCACGTTTTTTCCTAGCCTATAAAAGAGACCTGGAGTCGCTGGATAAAACACACGAGGTAAAATAATTTTCCATTTGCGCCAAGGTAATGGCTGTATTGGTGACGAGTACTGCATGAGATGCAGGCTAATTCACTGAGCGGCAGACAAAACTAAATGGTACTGTCACAAACTTTTTAAACTGACATCATATGTGTAACCACTAGCATAATTTGAACTGGATGAAAAAAGTATCTGTCCCTCGCCGCTGACTACCAAACATACTATTTCCGAAGTAAGTTCCCATAGTGGTCCATAGGAAGAGGAGGGACTTTGCCTCTGTATAGTATGTTCTGTTTTTTTAATGCTGAGGAAAATGTGTTGTATTATGACAAAGATATCCACAGACAGTGTCGCAAGTTGTACGCGCAAGTTAATATGCTTGCTTGCAAATTCAGTGTGTGTTCAGTTAATGTGAAGATCGCTCTTTTCAGAGCATTTTGGACCCCGCTACATACTGCCCCCTTGTGGCGCTCCTACAGGAGGAGCAACGTGTAAATTTAGCAATATATTGATATATGTGCAGCGCTGTGTCTCAGAGAACAGCATCATTTTGTCTTTTATATGAACTTGCATAATGCAGTGTTGGGTATTTCTTGTCTGTTTTATATACATATTGTTGTTATTGTACATAGACAATTGTCTGTTTTTATGTGGAACATTATGACCTCTCTCTGAGTCCTTAATAAAGTCATTATTATTATTGTTGTTATCCCTCACTTACAGAGGCAACAGATAGCATATTTTCCTAAATATATCATTATGAAAATAATGTGGGTTGCACAGGGTAGTGTCCACAGTAAAATCATACTATCAGCGTTTACATATGTTACTTAGTGGCTTTGCAATCTTTGCAATAAGCTTCTGCCACCGGTGCCGAAATTTTGCGGAAAAAATGTGCTTTACAGCAGGAAACGCGTCATGTATTGCGAAACTGGTCGGTCAGCCAATCAGGGACTGGAGCTGGTCCTTATGAGGAGTTGGGCATGAGATAGTTGAGTCACGAGCACAATGGCAGACGGACAAAGTTTGGAGACAAGTGAAAAACGGCCTAGCTAAAGAAAAGGAGCTCCTCTGTGTGAGGAGGCAAAGAAGAGCAAAAAGGAGAGTGATAAAAGAAGAGGAAAAACAAGAGTAAACCTCAGTCAGGCGTTCAAGAGATGGAGGGAGCTCCGTGACCAAAGAAGCTTCAAAACCCATGTCCAGCTAGCTTTCTTTCTAATGGATCAGTAAGTAACACGGCTAAATGTTAGCTAGACCAGAGAGGACTGTACTGTACTGGCTGCTAGTTCATTCCTAGCTGGCCAGCATCGCAAATCGCCGCAACCAGGGAGCGGGTAGCGAGTGTTGGTCGGCTGACATCCTGGTTGCCATTCTACGGCAGCCCTCGGACAGTGATACCCCCCTCCCTTCCTTCTGTTCTCTTCTCACGGAGGCAGCTATCCACGGACATCGCCCAGCTAAGTTACGCCCAGCTAAGTGAACACTGGACTTTGTTTCCCATTCAATTTGAGCTCCAACCTGCCGCATGGTTTCCATACGGTAGCATTTATTCTAGAATGGGGACTGTTTACATGTGCATATTGGTATAATTCCACTGTGTCTACTGTTGTTTGTACTGATACTGTACATATTGGTATCATTTACTGTGAGCTGTTTGTACTGGTACTGTGCATTCTGCTATAATTATTTGTATTACTATTTGTTTTTTCTTCAGATAAATCTGATAATTGTTGCTCGGTCTCTTTACTCATTTATTTAGTAGAGTGTCCACACACCTTCTCATTTTACATATACATAGAGGTATACTGGTGGCTTTACAGCCTGCATCTTATTGATTGTCTCTGATCCCCACACTCAGTTTGGTCGTTGCCACAGTGCGACACAACACCACTGACGCTAGGTGGCGCCAAGCTAAAGGAAAAACTAATCTTATCTGTTGCCTCTTTAATGTGTGGCGTACAAATAAATAAACATTTATGACTGTTAAATTTAATAACAATACCTGAATTAAAAAATAATGAAATAAAAGCAAAATTGCTGATTTTCGGAAAAACCCTTAACAGCAAACCGACTTTAGATGATGAAGTTAATTCACGATGATTAAAACCAAGACGTCTTATTTGTTCCTGTGTTGCCAACAGCTCTGAGAACAACACCACTCTGCTCTCATTGTGCCAAATATTTTGCCCTGTATCATGTAATAATGTTATACTGCAAATGACCGATGTGCAACACTGAGATCTTCATCACGAGAGCGTTGCTCTTCCTACCTGTTAAAATGTTCTTGAATGCTTCTTCTACATTTGTGGAGTCCAACGCTGACGTCTCAATAAATGAGAGAGTGTTCTTTTCTATCATGGGAAGAAACGAAAGATTCATTTTTAAACACATATACGAAATATTCTACAGACTATAAGAGCGGCTTGGCTTGCTTTATTACAACAGTTTGGATATTTACCTGCAAAGGCTCGAGCCTCATCAGTGGGCACCGCCCTGAGGTGGCGGAGGTCGCTCTTGTTCCCAACCAGCATGATGACGATGTTGTTGTCCGCGTGGTCCCTCAGCTCCTTCAGCCAGCGTTCAACATTCTCATATGTCAGGTGCTTAGCGATGTCGTAAACTAAGAGAGCTCCAACTGCACCCCGGTAATACCTGATGACAGCACAGACCAGGTGAACACAGTAACAATATCTGTACTCAGTGTTTACACACACACACACACACACACACACACACACAGAGGAAACACTCACGCCGAGGTGATTGCTCTGTAGCGTTCCTGTCCAGCTGTGTCCCAGATCTGAGCCTTTATCGTCTTGCCGTCCACCTGGATGCTGCGGGTGGCGAACTCCACCCCGATGGTGCTCTTGCTCTCCAGGTTGAACTCATTTCTTGTGAAGCGGGAGAGCAGGTTACTCTTCCCCACTCCAGAGTCTCCGATCAACACGACTGTGAACAAACAAATACACACATTTCATTCAACACTTATAATGTAATAATGTTCAAGGAAAATGTGGCTCTCAGACTTCAGATCATTCCAGCAGTTATTCGGTGATCAGGTTTAACCTCAAACTGCCTCATCTACTGCTGCTGCTGCAGCGTGTGTTTCTCCCTTTAACCTTAATCAATACATGACGAGGCACATTTATCCAAATGACTGATGTTCGACTGCAGAATTACAAATATCGATGCTGACAGTTACAGAAAATGTACCGAACATCTGCCATTTTCAGGCAAAGTGAAAGTGCTGACTTGTTGTGCTGCTTTCTTTCTGAACTGTGCAATCCTTATCAGACTTTGCCCTGCTGGGAGTCATGCAGGAGGAAGCTGACAAAAACCTGCTCTTTGGGAAATCTGACTCGACAGTTTCTCAAGGCCTCTGTTCCTGTGCGTCTGTAACGAGTCATCAGGATATCTAATCGGTGGTGTTTTACAGCTGCCACACTGGCCTCGGCCTCTTTTTCTTCTGTACTCTAAAACTACACTTCACAGATAGATGTGATACTGTTTCCTCTGTGGTATTAAAATCTCTGCATCTAAACTTCTGTCAGTGACTTGCAAATCCTCTCTCTTTCCTGTTAATTACAGCACTTTATGTTACAACAGCGCGCCTGTAAATCAGTCTCAGAGCAGGTCCTTGGCCCCGGGCTATCTAATGGTTATTTACCTCTGCAGCCTGAAAGGGACGGTGAGATTCTGAAAGTGATGCATCAAGACTAATACAAACATTCACATCCAGGACTCACACACCTTAATCTCCTCTACACCGTGTGATCCAGAGCTGCACTACAACTTTACAGCATACTTTGGGTTTTGTTGTTTTCCTGGAGGATCCTGACCAATTAGCCACAACTGGACTTGATTTTAAATTTCTATTAATGCACTTATTTAAAGTTCATTTAATTTTGTTGTTGTTGTTGTTGATGATGATGATGATGAGGAGGAGGAGGAGGAGAAGTGTGGCTGTTGGTCTTTGTCTTTTATGAGCTGCTAGAGGCTGAATTTCCCTTTAGGGATGAATAAACGTCTTTCTCTTTCTAATATGTGAAACTACTTCCCAGTAGTACTAATTCTTGCACTGTCGTTACTGCAAGTTACTGGCTGTGTTAGTCTTATGCACAATCTACATTTGTTCATATGTTTGTCTTCAATTTGTATTTCACATCATCTTCAGTATTCATTACTCATGTGATGGTGGCTCGATTATTATTTCACTGCTGTGTGTTTTAATTTCTCATGTTTATATTCTCTATCTTTCTGTAATAGTGTTTTGTGTAAAACCCACTGGATGCCTACATTTCTCTCCGGATTAATAAAGCATATATCTCTCTAATTCTGCTGACATTAAGGCTATCAAGACACTTAATATCTGTATGTTTTATAATATTTTTGTCTGGTGTTAAATGCCCCTAGCTCCTCTGCTATACTTTTATTAGTGTACTGAATTTGTTTTATATTTTTTTGCTTAATAACGTATTAAATTAAAACATATTTGGAGTGGAAATATGCCCTCAGACTCAAAGTGGTGGATGGTAAAACAACATTACAGAAGCAGCAACATGACAGTGAACCACAGCTCTTCACACTAAACGATGATTTTACGAGGCCTTCTACAGAACATACGCCACTCTTTGTACTTTAAAGGTGTGTTAAAGGTGAGGACAGCTTCTCCTCGATGGCAATAAAGTTTAATTTAATTATTGCACAAGTAACGTTACAGCTCCACCCGTCTCACAAGCTGTTAGCCTGCAGAGCTAACGCTAACTCCCCAGCCGCCCTGCTCTCTGTCAAACCTGCAGAAGAACACAACTCACACACAGCAAACACGTTACGTTAAGTAAAAGTAAACGTGAAGTTAACGAGAAATAACGAGTGTGGAAACAGCTAACTGCTAACAGCTAGCTCAGGAAACAGTTAAGCTAGCTACAGTTAGCTGCCACCACCAGCTGATATTAGAACTGACCACTGACGTTAGCACAGCTAGCAGTTAGCATGCTAGCCTCAGTCTGGCTAGTTTCCTTGTCAAACAGCATCCAACAAGTTCACCTGTGAGCAGTTTCTGCTCCGCTCACCTTTGAAGAGGAAATCATACTCGTCGTCTCTGTTCCCCATTGTTTGACGCGACCACCTTTGTCAGACTGCGGTGATGACAGCAAATATTTCCCTGCCCTCAGACCAGGCTGCTGAGCCAAGATGACACAAGACAATGCGCACATTGCGCAGGAAGAGCAGAGCTGCTGAGAGTTGCGTTAACGCAACACAGTCATGTGATCTACCGGCAAATGGCTCCAGGTACGGTAAGTTATTAAAGAGTCATAAATTAAAGGGGACTGTGGCCCAGGTGTAGTCAGAGTCACTCCTGTTATACAGCAACATCTCTGTCCCCATGAATTACTTCTGTAAGATATATATTAAAGTCTAATTTATCACATAAACTGATATATATATATATATATATATGTATGTACACACGCTCAGCGGCCACTTTATTAGGTACACCTGTTCAACTGTTCATTAACACAAATATCTAATCAGCCAATCAGGCGCCAGCAGCTCATTAACATTTGATGAAGAAAGGTGACTGGAGGTGAGAAGAACTTGGAAAACAAGTTTAGATGAGAGAGACATGGCTGAAAAGAGTTTGTGTGAACAGCTCGTACACACGTGTGTTTTCACACAATGATTCAAAATGGGGACCTGCTTCTGGTAAGTAAGTAAAATGTAATTGTACAGCACTTCTCACAGAGAGAACTCACAAAGTGCTTCACAGGATTAAAATACAAACAAGAATACATATATACAAACATACAGGTCACAGGTCACATACAGAGACACAAAACTACATCACTTAAGACAAGTTAAAGAATGCCTGCCTATACAGATAGGTTTTAAGATGCTTCTTAAAGATATCGACTCAAATTCTGTGGGAGGGCGTTCCACAATCTGGGCGCAATGGACTCAAAGGCCCGGTCACCTCTAGTTCTGAGCCTAGTGCGAGGAACTGCCAACAGGCCGTGATCGGCCGACCTAAGTGTCCCACTGGGAACATATACATGCAGCAGGTCAGACAGATACTCAGGTGCTTGATCATGAAGGGCTCTGAATGTTAAAACAAGGATTTTGAACTGGATCCTAAAGCTGACAGGAAGCCAGTGTAGGGAGGCCAGGACGGGAGTAATGTGGCAGTTTTTGGGTGATTTGGTGAACAGCCTGGCAGCGGCATTCTGCACCAGTTGGAGGCGATCTACAGAAGTTTTACTGAGACACATGAAAAGAGAGTTGCAGTAATCCAGACGTGATGACACAAAGGCGTGAATGATCATTTCCAGTTCAGCATGTGATACAACAGATCTCAGTTTTGCAATGTTTTTAAGGTGGAAAAAGCATGTACGGGTCAACATGTGAATGTGTTTATCAAAGTGCATGGCCTGGTCAAAAAGAACTCTGAGATTTCTCAGGTTAGAGCGGATATTTGAATTCAGGGACCCAATACAGCTCGCCACCCTAGAAGCAGTACAGTCAGGAGCGACAATAAGGACCTCCGTCTTAGCAGCGTTAAGCTGGAGGAAGTTGTTGACCATCCAGTCATTAATTGTCATGCAGTACATTCAGACTGTCAGTCCTGTCAGGATTAAAGGAAAAAATCAGCTGAATATCATCTGCGTACATATGATATGATACACCTTCAAACCTGTTGATAATGATTCCAAGAGGTAGCATATACAGAGCAAACAAAATTGGACCCAACACTGAGCCCTGAGGTACCCCACAAGAAAGGGGGACGGACTCGGACATAAACAGATGCTGCGGAGAAACTTCTACCAGAGAGGTAGGAGGCAAACCAGTGAAGGGCACTGCCTGAAATGCCAGCCCCGTCACCAGATCTCAGTCCAATAGAGCACCTTTGGGATGTGCTGGAACGGGAGATTCTCATCATGGATCAACTGTGTGATGTCATCATGTCAATATGGACCAACATCTCTGAGGAATGTTTCAGCATCTTGTTGAATCTGTGACACCAAGAATTAAAAAGGGGGTCCCACCTGGTACCAGCAAGGTGTACCTAATAAAGTGGCCAGTGAGAGTCTATTTAACGTGCAATACTCTATGTAATTCTTCAACTGTGCAATATTCTTAACTCCTCTTGAATGTATAGAAGTATTCAACATACAGTGCACAGAGCTGTACTTCTTATGTTTATTCTGATACTTGTCTATTGATGTGTATATTGCAGTAACCCTTATAACACAATAGTTTATATGTCTGAATGTAACACTAGTTTATAAAGTGTTCTCCTGGGGAACTCTTGGTCCAGACATTCATGAGGATGCCACTTGATGCGCTTCACCCGCCCAAACACCTCTGCAGATCAAGTATCACTCCCTATGGCAGCAGCACTCTCCAATGTCAGTGGCCCCCCAGCAGGAAATTGCATAACTCTCCATGGGCTACAGAGCTCCATGTTGTTTTTGAGGACGCTCATGTGGAGTATATGTAAGGGAATAATTTAGCATGCACATTATAAAAAAAGCTGCTTGATAGATTTGAAGAAAATTATTAGAGGGTATCTTTTTAAAAACCAAAATTACGAGCATATATTAAAATCAAGCACAATGATGGCACCGAACCTGTTACTGCAAACTTATTAAGGAGTCAGAGATCTTTAGTTGCACACAGAACAGAAATCCTTCCTTTGGCCTTTAAAGTGGCCATTTGTATTTGTTTGTTTTCTTAATAACCCATATGATGTGAGCAGCAGCAGCAGCAGCAGCTGGCCCCCAGGTATTTCAACAGTATCTAATCTGGCCCCCATTCAGAACTGTTTGGACACACCTGGCACCTAGAGAAAATCTACAGCTTCAAATGTGACCATACAGTTGAATCAGCACTTTTCATGAGAGCAGGATTTATTGCAGGACTGCTGCATCACACATTACTCTGAGGTAGGTGTACACTCACAATGAGATACGCTCTGTGGTTATATAGCCAGCAGATGGAGCCATCATCTCTTCCTCCTGACACAAATATAGACCCACCTCCTATCCATATTAACTATGCTCTGTTCACTGGAAAGTTAAATATTTAAAAAATCAGCAGCTGATCTCCTGAATGATCCTTTAATCACCTGCTGCGTCTAATTCACATTTAATCCAGCTGTATGGGAAGAAGCTCAGGTTTGCCCTGCTGTCTGAAGGTAGTGAAACTATTTCTTTTACCTAATGTCAGATCTGTCGCCCCTTAGAAATATGATTACTGGTTCACACAGTCAGCGACACGCTTATCTAGATTATCACTGCTCAGCTGCAGACAGGTCGTTCCTGTTACGCTGCAACACTTCATAACTTCTGCCTCATAACTTTTAAACATAAGAATGTGTCTTCAGGGACACACAGTAAATAATGAAAACTGTATTTTAAAAAGAACAAAAAACTACAGGTATATTTAGTTATATACAGACCTGCCAACAACAATATGTTTGAGATGATGTGAGCTTTGTGACATGGTGCGTTATCCTGCTGGAAGTAGCCATCAGAAGATGGGTACACTGTGGTCATAAAGGGATGGACACGCTCAGCAACAATACTCAGGTAGGCTGTGGTGTTTAAACCATGCTCAGTTGGTACTAAGAAAATCTCCCCCACACCATTACACCACCAGCAGCAGCCTGAAGCGTTGATACAAGGCAGGATGGATCCATGCTTCCATCTGAATGTGGTTTTTCCAATCTTCTATTGTCCAGTTTTGGTGAATTGTAGCCTCAGTTTCCTGTTGTTAGCTGACAGGAGTGGCACCTGGTGTGGTCTTCTGCTGCTGTAGCCCATCTGCTTCAAGGTTGGACAAGGTGTTGTTGCTTCAGAGATGCTCTTCTGCACACCTTGGTTGGAACCAGTGCTTATTTGACTTCCTGTTGCCTTTCTATCATCTTGAACCAGTCTGGCCATTCTCCTCTGACCTCTGGCATCAACAAGGCATTTTGGCTCACTGGATATTTGCTCTTTTTGGGACCATCCTCTGTAAACCCTAGAGATGGTTGTGCTGAAAATCCCAGTAAATACTCAGAGCAGCCCGTCTGGCACCAACAACCATGCCACGTTCAAAGTCACTTCAATCACCTTTCTTCATCATTCTGATGCTCCGCTTGAACTTCAGCAGCTCGTCTTATAAGACCATAATATACTGTATAATTTTATGGGTTTGTTCTGAATATGTAATATGCACATTTTAACTGAAATATTTGGAACAGATTTACAGGGACAGAAATGTTGCTGCATAACAGGACTGACCCTGACTACACCGCAGTGCAGAAACAACCACAGCCTTGTATGACTTCACATCAGATAAGAGTCAGTTCACTGCACCATGTGTAGACTGTCAGCAGACTCAGCAGCTGTGAGCTAAAAAAAAAAACAACAACAAAACATTATTGTTTGTTTTAATTTGTAACACGTTTAATTTGTGTGTGGACAGACCAGAAGCAGGCCGCATGCAGGCCACCATTTTGAATCATTGTGTGAAAACACACGTGTGTACGAGCTGTTCACACAAACTCTTTTCAGCCATGTCTCTCTCATCTAAACTTGTTCCCCAAGTTCTTAGTAACATTAAATGTGTAAAATAATATTACATAGTAGTAATTAGTTTCAATGAAGCCCTCAGGCAGGTGATTTCCCTCCATGAGACATGCGTCACTACGTCACAAGCACCCACCTGTGGGTACTTTCTAAAAACATCCGCCCACTCGCGCATTGACCAATCAGCCGCGAGCACGCTGTCACCAACTTGACGCACAGGTTCGCTCCTCACTTCCATATAGAGGAGAGCTTCACTGCAACCAGGCAGACCTGACTGATACATGTGACTGTGACAATCAGCTGCACAGTCACATCTATACGCTCCAACAGTTTGATTGTTTAACGTCATGATGGCGAAGCGAGCAGCGCGTCAGAGGAACCAGCTGCCCAACTGTTACTATGAGGGATACCTGGAGAAGAGGTCCTTCAAGGATAAGGTAGGGTTTGTGTTTCTGTGCAAACTCCACGAGAGACAAGGTTTTCTTTATTGCACGCAACAGGTGAAATAAGCTGCAAAGAGCTCGTTGCCGTGACGACCTTTTGTTGGTGTTTCTGTTGATTAAATGTGTAAAAGTGTTCAGGTCATTTACTGAGTCTCATGTGTCTTAAAAATATAAAGTGTCAGTTCTCACTGTGCAGGAAATTATTACCTGCCAGTGTTTTACTGTTAAATATAATGTTTCTGGATTATTGTCACTGCTGCATTAATGTGCATTTTGTTTTAATTTTAACGCATTAATTTACTGCTGTTACTTTAGTTTGTTTATACAGTTTGATCTGCAGTAATGCATTTTATTCTGCACCATCATCACATATGTGTGTGTGTAGTGACGCATGCTGCAGGGAGGTCAGCCTTTCATGGTGTCAACAAAAACAGCTTTGAATTTTCCAGCTGATCCAAGAGTTTTTAAAGAATTTATTTAGCATAAATATTAATAATAATACAAAAATACATTATGAATATTAATACAAAATATTTACAATTATTATTATTATAAAAAAACAAGACAAAGTAACAGTGTCTGAGAAGGTAAAACTTTTATGTCTCTACTCCTTTCTTACATTTCTTCTTTTATACATTATTTCATCAAATAAACAAGTATCCCCAGTCTGTTTATCACCCAATTAAATCAATAAGCAATAAACACAGTTTATTTACAGTCCACGTGCCACCCAGTGTTACAAAATAAATATGCACTCCCCAAACACAACCTGCTATATATCTGCCACAAATAACTTTTTGTATAGTTTTTTAAATAGATTTTTATAAATGCTTTGTATCAACTCGTCACGCAGCCCGTTCCACACGTCCACCCCACACACTGAAATACAGAAATACACACACTCTTCTTAGTTGTACGTACACATTGTTTTTTAAAATTAACCCCCCCCCCCCCCCCAATGTTGCCCGTTATGAATTATTTCTCGCTTTAAACATGATTATTGCGGTTTTAAATTTGACCAGATCAAAACATTTCAGTGCGTGTGACTTTAAAAACAGTGTGTTGAGGATTGCTCTCTATTGAAGGGTGTATAATGCTGTGAGTTGCTTCCCAAACTTCTACACAGTAATTTGAACATGGTGGTACAAGAGATGAATACAGAATGTGCAGTGATTTACAGTCCAGGATGTTATGAGTATTCTCAGCCCATAAAGAAGACTTCATCCTTTAGTTTATCACAAACATTCACCAGATTTGGAGATACATGGTTATAACTGGACAGGAAGGGTATGAAAGTAGAGTCACAGTAACTGAAGCAAATGTAATGGAGTAAAAGTACAGTAGTGGAGTAGAAGTATAGAGATGCTGCATGCTTTTTAACCTCGCACCATGTCTTGATCATGTGTCTTACAATTGGATTTTTAGTTTGTTTATGTATTTCTTTACTGTGTCTGAATACATGTAAGAGGGAGGAGGTCATTTCAAACCATGAGCCTCCATTTCAGTCTAATGAGGAGAACTGTTTGTTGAAAAATAAAACATTATAGATCTGAGCTGTGCAGCCCAATAATACCACAACATATTAGGACATTTCAAACCCCCTCGATCAAATGGTAAATAAAATAAAGACAGACGGAGTCTTGCCCTCCTGTTGTTCCATATGAATCCTGCAAATGTTTTCTTAATTCTTGAAAAGAAATCTGAAGGTGGTGGTAGAGGAATATTCTGGAATAAATAGAGTAATTTTGGCATTATATTCATTTTTAAAATATTAATTCTCCCAATTATAGATACTGGTAATGACATCCACCTCTCAATTGACTCATTAATTTCTGACATTAAAGGTTCATAATTAGCGTTAACCACATGTTCTAGGCTTGGCATAATCTGTACCCCCAAATATTTAAACTGATCTACAACATTAAATTGAATTACCTCAGGGATTGAATTCCTTCTTTCATTTGCATTTAGTAATAATATAGAAGATTTAGTATTGTTCACTTTATATCCTGAAATGTCGCCAAATGTTTTAAAAAGTTGTACCAAAGCCGGAATAGTTTTATTTAATTTTGTCATGAGTAGAATTACATCATCAGCGTATAAACATATCTTATGTTCTGTTGGACCTGCTGTTATTCCATAGAATTGTGGGTGTGTACGCACTGCTATTGCAAGAGGCTAAGTGTTTCTAATTTTAAAACTTTTTGAAGACTTGTTCATGTCCATGCTCGTTGTTGATTAATCTGTATATTATTATTGAATTAATCGGTTAATTGTGAGGTCTGTAAAGTGTCAGAAAACTGAGATAAATATCCACCTCCACTGAAAAGACATTTAATCTACTGTCATATAAAATAAAGAAAAGCAAATCCTCACATAATAAATTATCAGAGTAACTGCAGATTATTTTTTTCTTGATCGATTAATCGACTTATTCTTGTTAGATGCTGTTGTTGTTGATGGTAAGTGTGTGTGTGTGTGTGTGTGTGTGTGTGTAAGAAAGAGGCAAAGGTGAATGAGTGGCATCTCAACTATGTGCAGAAGATGCCACGAGGGACCTTCATTCCTTTTAACCTTGATATGTTTTAGTGGTCAGGGACATTTGGTGCTTCTTGATAATAATCTGATCTGTGTTGTCGTGCAGAGCAGCTCCTCCTCTCATCTTCTCCTCACTGGCTCCCAATGAAACAAAGAATTGATTTTGAGATACTTCTTATTGTTTAGAAATGTTTTTAATGCTTTAGCTCCTTCCTGTGTTGCTGACATGCTCACAGAGTTCACACCAGAGGTCCCTCAGATCATCAAACGAAGGTCGACTCATTGAACCTACGATCTTTTTGTTATTATCTCCCCTTTTTTAATAACAATGATAATAATACATCTTTATCATGCCCTGCTTGTTTTTTATATATGTAATACTTAATTATCTGACATGATATTTTGTGTTTGTCATGTATGATGTATCTTAAGCACACTGAGTTTACACTTGTCGTATGAAATGTGCTGTATAAATACATTTACATCAGTATTCTAGATAGTTTGATAACCTGTACATTCATTGACTGTGATTAATGTTAAAAACCTGCAGTGTAACGCCACACTTCATCCTTTATTAACCCTTAAGTGCACTTAATGCACAGCACCAGGTTAACTCAGTGCTGTTTTCTTTGGGCGGAGCCGCCTGTCATTATATAGTTTCTTGTAAGTCGTAAGGACTTTGACCTGAGTTTTTTCGGTGAACAGCACTTCTGTCTCTCCAACTGGTCTGACTGCTTCCTGCTCATTGTGCCATAAAGATTAGAGCAAGCCAGGAACTGACAGAAGAGTTAATGCGCTAACTGGCAAGGCAGGCTTTGCAAACAAGCCCTCCCTGATAAGAGACTGAAAACACTCGCATGTAACATCGTAGGGGAAACTTTTTACTGAGCTCACTATAAAGTCCCACTCTGAGATAAATCTAGAGCCGCTCAGTTATGTCAGAATCTCAGTTTTACAGTTCAGCTCTCATATTTTAGTGATTTTGATTCCGGAAACAAACAATAGTCACCACAATTTCTGATTTATTCCATACACATGTTAATCAGGTGGTGACTCATATAGCTAATTGCCCTCAGGTCCAACCAGTTCAAACACAAACGTTGTTATTGATATCACACACTGGTTTCGGTTGGTTACAAATTCTTGACTCATCAAATCTGATCCAAGAATGTCGTCTGCACAGACTCAGCTGCCCCGTTTATTTCCTTATTGTACAACAAACATTTTTTTCCTCCTTATTTTATTTACTGTGCATTAACCCAAATAAACAATCTGTGTCTCTGTGTTTGTGCAGACATCTCGGAAACTGTGGACGTGTTTGTGTGGAAACTCGCTGTTCTTCTTTAACGACAAGAGAGACGCTGATGTAAGTCATCCCAGAGCAGACATGTGGATAATTATTAATCAGATATTTTCCTGCCCACACTGAGAGATGATGTGTGTCTTTGTGTGTGTTTCATCAGTACATAGAAAAAGTGGATCTCACCGGACTGGTCTCAATAACAGATGACAGCAGCCAGGACCGTAACTTAGACGCAGCCAGACTCAACCTACAGATGAAGGACATTAATATCAAATTCACTGTGAGGGAATATATAGAAACAATATGGAAATCATCCTCTTTGTCAGATTAATTCTTCATTTCAACAGTTTTTCTCTCTTTCACTGTGTCCGCAGGCTCCTAATGCAGAAGCTCGAGAGCTGTGGAAGGGTTACATCCACGCTGTGGCTGAGGTCAGTGGTGTTTAACATTTAGCTCACTTAATAAACGATTTTCAATAACTGAAGATTAAGATTATTGATGCTTAGATGTAGTTAACAAACATTTTAAGGAGAAACTGTGTGTCTCCCTGCAGCTGTCGGTACCCTCCTCCCTCAACCTGCTCCCAGGTCAGATCCACATGTTAAAGGAGGCAGTAGAAAAGGAAAAGGAGAGAATGAAAAGTCTCCCTCCACCTCCTCCACCTGCTGCTGTCACCAACTCCAATGCCTACATCAGCCTCAAAGCAGACATGCCAGCGTGAGTATGGACAAGACAGGAAATCATGAACACTCATGCTGGAGTGGAATATTGGCTCTAATGTGGACAATAGAAGGGGCTGGTACCATGATACAAAACACAGGAGCAGATTTAAGATCAGAGAAGAACATTTTAAAGCAAATTTAAAAGGTCTAAAGTATTTTGGTATTTAATGGTTTGGGTTCATGGTCTCCTCGATTCTGTAACTTTATACATTAGGGCTCGGATATGGACAGCATCCAGGACAGAAAAAGGCTTTATGTGGCTGCCTTGAAGATACATATAATCTCAATTCATCATAGAACCTTATCTTTCTTAGTGGTTTTGCCAAATTCGTGAGCTTTTCTAGAGGCAGTGTACGTCTGCATCTGAGTCTCTGCATCTTCCTCCAACAGTTTACAAAGTAATTTGCACAACTTTGCTGCCAGAGAAAACTCATACTTGATGACTTTGGGGTTTTCAGATAACCTGAAGGATTAAATCTTCATAAATGTCTCCAAATATTCCCTAAAACTCATGGATGGATTACTGAACATGCCCATAGGTCACAGACACAGGGGGCAAAAGTGTCAGGGGCTCCTGGCCACGTACCAACCAGGAAGAGACACAAAATGACCACAAAGAGATGCAAAGGAACTATTTAGGGACACAAAATAACTACATAAAGGGGAAAAACAACCACTAAGAGACACAAATTGACAACAAAGAGACAAAAGACCAAAAAATGTCCTCAAAGAGACACAAAAATAAACCAGTAAGACACAAAATTACCTCAAAGAGACACGAAACAACTATAAAAAGACACAAAAAGAACTGCAAGGAGACAAAAGTGTTTACAGAGAGACACAAAATGACCACAAAGAGATGCAAAGGAACTATATAGGGACACAAAAGGGGCAAAACAACCACTAAGAGGCATAAATTGACAACAAAGAGACATATAATGGACAAAGACCAAAAAATTACCACTAAGAGACACAAAAATACACAAGTAAGACATGAAATTACCTCAACGAGACATGAAACAACTGTAAAAAGACACATTACAACTAAAAGGAGACAAAAATGTCTTCAAAGAGACATAAAATAACTACAAAAAGGGGCAAAAAAAAAACACTTAGAGACACAAAATGACACATAACGACTAAAAGACCAAACAAATTACCTCAACGAGACATGAAACAACTATAACAAGACACAAAAACAACTGCAAGGAGACAAAAGTGTTTACAGAGAGACACAAAATGACAAAAAAATACCTAAAAGAGACAAAAACCACCTCAAAGTCTGTGTCTTGCTCCTATGATGGAGAGGTGTTGGGGCCAGCGGGCCCATTGTCTCATACTAAAACCCTCTTTGAATTATTTAAACACGAAGGATACTCAGAGAGCGCAGACTTCCACCAAGGACAAATGCCTTATCTTGCATTCTTAACGAAAATGAAAAATACTTTCCGCCGCTGTGATTTGGATCTGCTCCAAAATGTAATGGGTTCTTCCTTGGCTCGTGCTACACCCTTCCACAAAGCTCCATGAATTTGGCCATAATCCTGCTGACGGACAATCAAACGAGCCAAAAACATAACCTCTTTGGCGGAGATAAAAACGCAGCATTTTTAAGCTTATATCAAGGTGACAGTGTTTTTAATTTAAAGATGAGGTGTTGGTTGATGGTGTTTGTGTTGTTCAGCTCAGTCGTTCACAAGACTTTGTTGATTTTAAATCAAAGTTTCTCCTGCACACAGACTCCATGTGTGAGGTCTCGATGCATCTCTTCTGAATGATAGAATAATAAAATGAGTTTTAGATGAATGATGCCTGAAGTTTTTTCTTTTTGTCTCACAACACGTGTGTGTTCTCTGGTGTCCTGCAGTTGTTACCACAGTGTGTCCCGTCTGGAGGCAGAGCTGCTGCTTGAGCGAGAGGCCAAGAGAGGAAACCTGCTGCTGAGGCCTGGAAGTAATGGAAACTCCTTCGCTGTCACCACCAGACAGGACCTTGAAGGGTAAACACACACACACACACACACATACTGAAAGCACACTCGCTCCCACACAGATTTAATATGAAGGTGTACATACACACAACTATTGTACCATCAGTTAATCCTTTGAAAGCTGGAGCGACATCACTTGTCTTTCAGATTGTATTTAATGCAGTACAGTTACTGCTAGAGGAGAGTATAACAGGCAGTCTGACATGTCTTTGCACGTGTTGTCAGACAGTTTATAATCCGTTTATTTGTTTATTGCATCTGTATTTTAATTGCCTGTCTCTCTCTTTCTCCACCAGCTCTGTATTCAAACACTACCGCGTGGCGCGTAAACCTGACGGGAGCTTCGCCATTGATGTTGACAATCCTGTAAGTATTAAAAAGTCATGCTGAAGGTACTTTATGGCACTACATGTGCCACAGTTAGAGGACTGAGGTCCAGCAGCTAAAACTATCAGCGACTGCTTTGTTGTTCTTAGATTATACAGTAGATAAGAAAACTGACGTTGCCTTTTTATTGCTTGATAATTTCGGCCATGTACAAATTAACTTGTGTTATTGAGCTTCACCTGCAAGTTAAAAAATCACTTCAGCTGGCAGTGCAGAGCATTACATATGAAACAACGAGTTGCACTTGATAGCTTGAGTTTTTTTCATTGTTCAGGTGAGAGATGAGAATTTCAGAAACTATAGCATTATGTGACTTCCCAGAAAGGAAGAGGCTGTGACAATCAAACTGTCACATGACGTTAATTCGCTCATGATCATTACAGTCGTATTTCTTCTGCATCTGTGGACATGCTGGATAAGACTTGGAAGAATTTGCCTGCTAGTGGCATGACTCACCTCTGAGGCTGCTCCCATAAAACCATGCATGCCATGTGTGTGTGTGTGCAAGGTGTTTTTGCGTGCAGCTGACCCATAATTTCCTTCCCGGCACTAATGATACATAATCAGTAGTTACACTGAATTTCAAACACAGATGAAGGTGCAGAGAGTCCTAATATTGATATGGTGGTTTTTGTGGTCAGGTTAAATCGTAATCGTCGACCTGTTTTATTCCCTGTGTTTATTTTATTGCTCTTAAGTAGTTAAATAAAAGCTGTTCTCCGCGCAGGTCCCCTGTGCCACGCTACACGATGTCATCAACTATTTAGTGGACAAAACTGACAGAGTCCTGATTCCTCTCATCCTCGAAGAAGCTTATGAGAAACGCATCTGTACGTACAAAAACTGGGACATTTCAATCTTACTTTCTGTTTCACTCTATTTATTCTTTTCTGTTTTGTTTGCAAAACGTATAAATGACTCTTTTTTTACAGCTTTTATTCGGTCTGATGATGAAAACGGAGAAAAGAGCGTCCAACAGGCTCTGTCAAACCCTCCGAGTGTCCCCCCCAAGCCAGGTAATCTGTCCATTAAAACAAACATCACATACACACACACACACACATGTCCAGCCATTAAATTGTTTACACTTTTTGCCACACCTGTTTGCTGCAGCTCATTGACGCATTCAGGTAACTGGAAATTCCACCTCTACAACTTTCCTTGGACTTTTCCCAACAAGGTCACAGTGACGTGAAAATGACTGACTTCATATCATAATGTAAATCACTTACAATTAAAACTATTAGATTAAATGTTGTGTAATCTTGTGTTTTATAGTATAAACCCAGTATATGTAGTTTCTATAAAAGCAGCACATCTGAACTGGTTGGTTAAGTCACTTTGTACTCGTAGTTGCACATCAATCAAAGGTTTTGAAACCCTGGAGATAACACTGACATGTTCCTGTAGAGGAATGATTGCACTGTGAGTCCACGTACACACACACACACACACACAATCACTCATGGTTTGCTTGTTTGAGAGCGTTTAAATCACTCCACACACTTTTGTTTTGCTTTGGACTTTGTAGCTCAAACAAATCTTTACAGGATGACGAGTCAGCAGCAGAGGTTTCCAACTGTTTGAGATCACTTATCACGGGTTGCATTTGTTTACTGGTTGTGACTGGTTTAAACACGGTTTCCGGATAAATGATCTCGGGATTTCCAACAACAAAGTTTTATCTTCTTAATCATCTCCTCAGATATATTCTTACAGCCGCTGGACTACATTCCTGTCTAGATGGTAACTCCCATGCGCTCCATCATGGGTTAGCCTATTAGCATGCTAACTTTTGTTAATTAGCAGTAAACAGCTGAGGCTGTACTCATTAGCTTTGCAGGTATTTGTACATAAACCAAGGTACTGGACACATTTTGTCTCTAACTAAACTTAACTCTCGCAAGATTTCATGTTCCATGTTTGAAGTGATCATTTCAGCCCAAACCATTATCTTTCCATAACGATGACGAAGTACTTCCATATATTATATTATATACCACAGCACCGTTGAACCATAAAACAGCCGAACAAGAATGTTTTTGAGCAGCTCGCAAGAGTTTTGCAAATCTAGGGTTACCATCTAGAAACGACCCTGATTTATTAGCAGTGCTTTGAGCTAAAGGCTAACGTCAGCATGCTAACATGCTCACAAATGATAACGTGAAGACGCTGAAGTTTAGCAGGTAGAATACTCTCCATCTTAGGTTAGCGTATTAGCATGCTAACTTTTGTTAAGTAGCGCTAAAGATAAAGTACAGCTGAGACTGATGGGAACTTCATTAGCTTTGCAGGTACTTGCAGGTACATAAACCAAAGTACTGGACACAATATATCTGTGGGTCTCGAACTTGTTTCAGTGACGTGCCCCCTTGAAATATTTCTTCAGCCAAGTACACTTGACCAGCGTAAAACATTTTTGGTGGAAAAAACAAGCCATGTGTGAAGTATTTCAGGGCATCTATTGGCAGAAATTGTATATTCAGAACTTTGGTTTCTTCAGTGTATAATCACCTGAAAAATAAGAATTGCTGTGTCTTTGTTACCTTAGAATAAACCGGTTATATCCTTTCATTGCCACTGACTTTTATGAGAGGTTCATTTTTATCATTTTATTTTAAATGAAAGTACCATTATCACTTAAACATACGGAGCCGGTCCTTTTCCACGGTGTCCATCATGCTGTTTCTACAGTTGCCCAGATCATATATGGTCGTTCGTCGTGTTTGAAATGACAAATATCAACCTCGCGGCGGCACCACAGGAAAAGTCGAGAAGTGCCAAAGTCAGTGGGATTTAATCCTCTGAGTACTGCAGATGTCTGTAGAAAATTTCATGGCAATCCATCAGATATATGAATCTGAACTGACTGATATGGCCATCCATAGAGCTGAACTCATGTTATTCTGAACATACTGTACACTTTACACAATCAGTATCTATTTCTGCATGCTGTAGGTTGAGGTTTAGGTGACGTCTTCAGCCGACTGTGACAGCACCTGTTGTTTACCGTCACATCAGTCATTCTCTCAGCCCTGTAATAATCATAATTACATGTTGTGTTTCGCAGTTGCTGTGAGAGTGCCGACCCCTGAACCAGCTCCAGCTCCAGCTCCAGCTGAGGAAGAGAATATCTACCTGAATGACAACAGTGAGTATCACTCGGCTGCCACCGGACCCATCAGTCAGTCCCTCCATCAGTCCTGCTGTTTCTGTCAAACACACACAAACAGGTACGACTTCATTTTTTCCATTGCTGCTGCTAACTAACCTCTGTGTGTTCAAACAGTGGACGAGGAAGAAAAAGAGACAGAGGATTCCATAGCTGTTCTACTGCCACGTAAGTCCCTCCATCTTGTTTTATAACCTCTTAGGAACTCACCTTTCCCTTTCTACTGAAATCATTACTCGTTTAGTTGTGAGTCATTGTTCGTTTGTTGGTCTCCCACAGCAAAGGAGAAAAAAGCTCCAAAGAAAGCGATCATGCCTCCGACTCCTGCTCCTCGCAAACTGACCTCTTCTCTGACACCGACCTCCTCTACCTCCTCCACCTCCTCCACCTGCCCCTCCTCGCCCTCCACGACCAAACGGGATCTGAGGAAGAGAACCCTCACAGACCCTCTGGCACAAAGTAAGTCCGCCCCGCCCTGGAGGCCGTCTTTAGATATAACTCGTGTAGATGTATTTTCAGTCTCAATTCATATTTCTGTTACATGTCATTTTTAAATCTTTGTGTCTGCTGTGCTCCAGTTCCTCTCGCAGCAATAACTGAGCTGAAACTGAAGCTTGAACAAAAGGCGAAGAGTCAAGAGTGACCTCTCCTGGTGGAAAGCCCTCAAAGCATCTGTGACAAACTGGCCCAGCACCAGTGACTCAAACCAGCAGGGACACTCCCCAGTCTGTCCCAGCAGGAGCAGGAGCAGAGACACCAGCTGGTTGCACACAAACAGCCTCTCTCGTGGCTCCGCTCCTCCTCGTCAGCTGGCTGTCAGCAGCAAAGCCTCTCCGAAGATTAACACTTTATTGATTCAGCCCTCTCAGACGCTCGTTAGCTAATTAATCAGCTGTAACGAGGGGTGTACCTGTCACATTATCTCGTGTTCTCTTGTATCTTTTGCACATTTACAACTGACGATGGTGCATTTTCTTAATCGGATTTTCTATCAGTGTTTTGTGTTCGTCCACCATTTTACTGTAATCAGCTGCTGAATAGTTGTATATATTTCTACAATTTATATTTTTCTAATTTATATGTAAAACATGTATTACTGCCTCTATATACAGTCAAGTGTAAATGAGGGGAAATTAGAGACAGCGTGGGGTTACTGTACCGATGATATGTGAATGTGTTGTTGTGTATAGTTTGTGTAAAACTCTTGCTTTCGTCACATCAAATCAGAAACATGTGAACAAGCAACTTGTCGTAGTTGCCATGCAGCAAATTAATCAGTTTTATGATGTTCTGTAACTGATATATTATCTGTGTTAAACCTTTTTTAAAGCTCCAGTGTGTAGGATTTAAGAGAATATATAAGTAGAAATGGAATGTAATTTAATACGTATGTTTTTTTTAGTGTATAAACACCTGAAAATAAGAATCATCATGTTTTCGTTGCCTCAGAATGACGTAGGGAGCGGGTCCTCGTCTCTAGAGATCGCCATGTTGCACCGCCATGACACCATCACAGTAGTCCAGAAAGGACAAACCAAACACTGCAGTTATAAGCCCCTGTGCAACAAGAGTGTCCAAGAAACACTAATTTTCTTAACATGAAACTGCTTCATTCAGTGTTTTTACCGGTTTGAATCAGCTGGTCTGTTTGTTCTGGAGAGGAAGAGACTTCTGTGGATAATTCAGCTCCTGGTAAAAACCTCCTGAACGTCTGGATCTTAAGTTACCAGAGAAAAAATTGAGCACAGATTAAGCGAGCGAGTTCAAGTATCTCTGTGTCTTGTTCACGAGTGAGGGTAGAATGGAGCGTGAGGTGGATCAGCAGTTTGGTGCGGCTTCTGCAGGGATGCGTGCGCTGTCGTGGTGAAGAGGGAGCTGAGTCAGCACCTCCAAATCTGAGGCCATGGTTCTCTGCCGGAAAGCAGTAGATTGCCCCCTCTGGGTTGGGAGAGATTTACCGCCTCAAGCGAGGGAGTATCTCGGGGTCTTGTTCACAAGTGAGGGTAGAGTGGAGCATGAGATGGATCGCTGGTTTGGTGCGGCGTCTGCAGTGATGCAGGCGCTGTGCCAAACTGTCGTGGTGAAGATGGAGCTGAGCCAGAAGGCAAAGCTTTTGATTTCCTGGTCCATCTACATCCCAACCCTCACCTATGGTCATGAGCTCTGGGTAGTGACTGAAAGAATGAGTTCACAGATACAAGCATCTAAAATGAGTTTCCTCTGTAGGGTGTCTGGGCTCAGCCTTAGAGATAGGGGGAGGAGTCAGACATCTGGAGGGAGCTCGGAGTAGAGCCGCTGCTCCTTCATGTTGAGGTGGTTCAGCATCTGATCAGGATCCTCCTGGGCGCCTCCTGTTAGAGGTGTTTTGGGCACGTCCCACTGGTAGGAGGCCCCGGGGCAGACCCAGAACACACTGGAGGGATTATATATCTCATCTGGCCTGGGAACACCTCGGGGTCCTCCAGGAGGAGCTGGAAAGTGTTGCTGGGGAGAGGGACGTCTGGGGTGCTTTGCTCAGCCTGCTGCCCCCGTGACCCACCTCGGATAAGCCGATGGAAATGGATGGATTAGGGGGTGCTGAACAGCGCAGGAGAAACACTGATTTGTAACATTAACTTGCTGTGTTTTTACCTGTTTTAATCAGCTGGTCTGTTTGTTTTGGAGAGGAAGAGACCTCTGAGGGTAATTCAACTCCCGGTAAAAACCTCCTGAACACTGAAGGAATTCTAACTGGGAGACGCTGCAGTCCTCACCACTAGATACCATTTAAACCCCCTAAATCTCACACACTGGACCTTTAAATGCAGCCAACATTTGTTTCTTACTTTGTTTTGAAGCAGAAATCCAAGAACAAAGTGCTCTCACTCCTTTATTACCTCAATGACTGATACATTATTGTGGAAAAACAAAACTATTTACAATAAATTGTGACACTGTGTCAGCATGTGAAATAAAGTTAACATAACTCTCAGCTTCTTTAAAGCGTTGCAGGCTACAGTTATTCAGGAGATGCATACAGAGGGAGCAACGTGGCAAAGCAAGACCGTTCCCATGTAATCTATAACGTGGACGCTACTCAGAATTCGGGCTGTGCACAAGTAAGGACTTCATAACATCAGTTTCTGGTGTCTCACCCAGGTGGACCCTAAACCTGGCTAACTCGCATAATACAATTTGTTAGCTGAGGCTAATCGCTAGCTATTTGTTATATTTGGACTACAGACAGCCCACTACTCATAATGGGATTCCTCTTCAGTAAATAAAGTGGTGTTATTATTAGGTATAGACACACACAGTACAAACAAGCATAAGGGTGCAGTCAGGTGAGTAGAATTAATACAGTACAGTCATTTCCAAAATCCTGAAGCCATATCTGATGACTCCTCTACATGGAGTTACACTGATGGAAACTCCCTGCTAACTTTCTGTGCAGAGTCTGGCATTAAAGGGACAGTCCGCAGTTCTTTAAGTGGGGTTGTGAGAGGTGCTTATCCACAGTCAGTGTGTACATACAGTAGATGGTGGCTGGCACGCTCAGTTCGCAGGAGCAGGCAGGAGTCCCGTCACAGACTCTAACCAATGTACTGCTGTGGACAGGCTTAGCAGAAAAACATATTTTAGCCACCTACGTTACAGTGTATGCTTTATTTAGAATATTGTCACTTTACCTTGCTGCAGACAGTGATCTCTGACGGGCAGCTGAAGCCGTGAGGTTGCTCTCTTTAACTCCACTGATGGTCTGGTCTTTTAAAGAGTTAGTTCAGATTTACCAAAGTCACGCAATAACATAAACTAACTAACAAATGGAGGCGGTGATAGACAAGCAGCTCCTGTGTATAGCATGCTCAAATTACTGTGTTTGTCACTGGAGTGTGGCGCTTTGAAGCAGGCATACATGGGACACTAAAGCCGTTAATGCCTTCTCCGTCTGTTACCGCTGTGTGCTGTTAGTCGACTAGTCGATTAAACATTGCTGCCTTCACGAGTCAGCACTAGGAATACTAGCTGGTTAAAATTATTATAAAAATTATCATTATTTTTATGTGATGGCTGTCACTCAAGATTTATTTTCCTAAAGAATAATTTCATTTCCATACCCGCTTATCCTCTCAGGTGTCACAGGGGGCTGGAGCCTATCCCAGCTGACACTGGGTGAGAGGCAGGGTTCACCCTGGACAGGTCACCAGACTATCACAGGGCTGACACATAGAGACAGACAACCATTCACACTCACATTCACACCTACGGACAATTTAGAGTCACCATTTAACCTGCATGTCTTTGGACTGTGGGAGGAAGCTGGAGCACCTGGAGGAAACCCACGCTGACACAGGGAGAACATGCAGACTCCACACAGAAGGGCTCCCCCACCCTGGGTTTGAACCAGGAACACTCTTGATGTGAGGTGACAATGCACGGTGCAAAGTGCCTCACATTTCAGTGGCATTTAAAATACTACTTGGTTATAGAAAACTGTAATTAACAGCTTCAAATGGCTCTTATGATATACACAATAATATACGGAAAATCTTACTGATTAAATTGTGCTCGTTGTGACTGTTCTCTGAGTGTTTTCTAAGTTTAGTTGACTGGTCTCAGTTTAAAGTGAAATAAGTCATTAGGAACATTCCTAGTCTACATCAAGGTAAAGCAGTTAAATATTCTTAATGTAACATATTATTAAACTGATAATGATTTTTTAAGGTGGCTAAAATACATTTTGCTGCTGCCCCCATCCACAGCAGTACAATGCTTAGCTTCAATACTGGTGCTCCTGCTTGTTTCTCTGAATTTGGTGCACTGATATCTACTGTGTGTAAAACACGATGGATAAGTACCTCATACGACTCCACTTCAAAAGATCCAAACTATCCCTTTAAACTCTCACAGCCAACACTGACTCTGATTTCAAACCAACAGAAGCTCAGCAGGAGACTAAACGACCCAGTTTCTCGCACGCAAACCTGACTACAAAAAGTGAAATGCAGTAAACACTGATTGGTCTGCATGCCTCGGCAAGACAGAAAACACAACATCCCTAATATGTGTTGTTCTTATGATCCGTTAGCTGCTGGCAAAGTTGAATAAATCCTGATTTAATGAACTACATTCTATTCAGTAGCATTGTCAAGGAGCAGATTATTTGGATTACACAGGTTGGCTGATGAGAAGAGGCAGATTCAGTGGGTGATAATTACCACTAAGTTACGTTACAACCAAGTTATAATGACACCGACACAACACATCGTTTTAAATTGGTATAGGGAGACAGTGAAACACTAGCATGTTGGTGCGGATCACCTGATTTGGCCGATCAGTTTGGAAATGAGAAGGAAGGCACAGGGAGAGAGCAGACAGGACAGGCCTTGACCCTGCACCTGCAGCTGGCTGCTTTGACAGTACGACTGACAGTTTTGGTGATGGCGAGGAAGGAAGGGCAGCGGCCAGCGCTAAATCTTTGCTCTAGCAGCAGTGGGACAGTGCTAAATGACATGATAGGAAAGACTAGAGACTACAGCTAATGTGTCCCAAGCAACAACAACAGCCGGAGTCATACATCTGAAGAGTTCTGTCACTGATGGCGCCGATGACTCACTTGTTCCCAAAACCATTTTCCTTGTCACGTAACACAGCTGAAGGAACAGGCTAAACCATCCTACTCCAGTGATGAAACTCTTCCATGATATGGCTTGGACCGCAGCCACGGCAGAGGTGATGTTGTGCAGCTGGGACTGTGGTCGAGCAGAGCTGGGTGGCGTCCAGCTGGCTGAGTGCATGAGACTAGGTGAGGCTGGCGTTGGAGCTGCTGGTGCCGCTGTTCTTCCTCTGACCGCTTTGCACCACGCTGGGGACCTGCAGGCCCGTCACTACTGAGAAACTGCCGTTCCACACCTGCAGGGGGCAGCACATCATCAGGAATGTAAAAACAGAACAATCATGGGAACAACAGAACATCTTTTTTTTTTTAGATATATTTACAGGGTTTTGAGGAAACGTCTCTCACCATGAAAGCTGGTATAACTGGCTGCTGGAACTTGGTTTTGAAGGAGTGCATCAGCTGTTTAGTTTTGGAGTTGTAGAAAGACAAAACACCTGCAGAGAATGAAAAAGGAAAATCACACTTAGCACTACAATAAAAAAAGTAAGGCTGCAACTAACAAGTTGTCATTGTTGATCAATCTGTCAATCACTCTTCATAGTGACAAAATAATTGTTTAAATCTGTTGTCTGATTTTATATTGATTTGCACTATGCTGCCATCTTGGCAGGCTCTTAAATTCAGAAGAGGTTTCTAACCTCAAAGACACCTGCTGAGTAATTAACTTTTGGGTAAATGAATAAAATTGCAGAATCCTCAAATCTTGCATGTTGGC